GTGCACACGAGGGAACCTGGGAGGTTGGCAACACAGGGCAGGCTGGGTGTGGTACACGTGGCTGCCACGTGCACAGTGTGTGGGAGGGGACGGCAGCCCGGTTCAGGTGTCTGTGTGCAGAGTCCCAGGGTCCTGTAGGACAGCAGCCTGGTTCAGGTGTCTGTGTGCAGAGCCACAGGGTCCTGCAGGATGGCAGCCTGGTTCAGGGCATGTGGTGCAGACAGCCACAGGGTCCTGCAGGACTCAGCCTGGTTCAGAGTGTGTGGTGCAGAGAGCCACAGGGTCCTGCAGGACGGCGGCCTGGTTCAGGGACATGGGGTACAGAGAGCATAGGGTTCCAGAGGGAATAGGGTACACAGGGTACTGTAGGACAGCAGCCCAGTTCAGGGCGTGTGGTGCAGAGTCCCAGGGTCCTACAGGGCAGCAGCCTGGTTCAGGTGACTGTGTTCAGAGCCACAGGGTCCTGCAGGGCAGCAGCCTGGTTCAGGGCATGTGGTGCAGAGAGTCCTAGGGTCCTGCAGGATAGCGGCCTGGTTCAGGGATGTGTGGTGTATGACAGAAGGCCTGGTCAGGGTTGGGTCATCCATAGAGTCACAGGGTGCTGTTAGGACAGTGGATCTGTTTCTGGGATGTGTGGTCCATGGAGCCATAGGGTCATGCTAGAAGGACACCCGAGTTTTCATGATTTGTTGTCTTGTCACTCACTGTCCTGAAATTATTGATAAGAAGCCCCACTTTTTCATTTTGCAATAGATCCAACAGATTATCTTCTGAGTTTTTCTTGGTATTTTGAAAGGAAGAGGATGGTTCAGGTGAGCATGGAGACATGCTCCATGTTGCAGGCAGAGAGAAGTATTGTCACAGTTCTGCTGAGCACGACAGGAGTGCGGGCTCCTTCATTTTCTCTGTGCTGTAAGGTGTCACCAGAAATTGGATGATACCAAGAAGAGGAGCCTGAACCGGGAAGATTTGCTAGCTTGAAGGAAATCCTCTGTAGGGAGAATTAGATTCCCCGTCTAACCATAATATTGTAAGAACATTGTAGCGGGGATGTTCAGCTTTCTTCATTTCTTCAGACAGGTGTGATTAGAAGGTATTTATTGCTGTCAAATTATTATTCATAATCCTCTGAAATGTGAATCTGAACGTCACTTCACTCCAGAAGGCTGATATCCCTTTCAACCTTGCATCTTGTTAACTTTTTTTGGTGAAAGATACTGAAAATCCACACCTCGTTTATAATGTGGATTCCTGGGGCAGAGGACAAGGGTAGCTTGACAGGTCAGACGGAGGACGTCACCTTGTTTTTTGTGCAGGTGTGATCAGAAAGATCAAGAGAGTAAAAAAGAATCACTTGCAGATGGATTTCACAGAATAGGTGGGTTCTGGGTGCCACATGACGAAACCAGTTTGCTGCGCCTTCCTGTTCTGGTCCTCACCTTCTCTGTCACTGTTCCCAAGCCTGAAGCGATGGTGGGTAGGCTCACAGCTCACGCTGCCAGGCTCCTGATGTTAGTGAGGCCTGTGCTCTTGACACATGGGGCTTGGAGTGTCGGATGCACATACCTCAGCCAAGAGCTCTTCCGTGAAGCTGCGTATGTCTGCCTTTGCCCTGATGGCTTCCTGGCATCCGGCAGTGGTCAGGCCACCATTCATGTGGCCCTGAGGCCATGGAGTGGCACTTGACTTCCTGAACACTCTCGAGGCTGTCAGGGAACGGAGGACCACATATGTCCTCACAAAGATGTCTCCTAATCCCTGTTATAATTCTAGCCTTCCCATTTTCCACTCCTTTTCATTAAGGGTGAATTTTGCCTGTGATGCACGGTGTTCAGAAGCATATTTCCTTGCAGGGATGCCCAGTTGTCTCAGCATAGTTTGCAGAAAGAATACTTTTTCTCCCCTGAATTTTCTCTGCAGGCTTTTGGAATGCTTGTTGGTCGATTAGTGTCAGTGGAGCTCTTGAAGTTAGGTAGCTTTTATGCAATGACTTATTCTAAGATTTGGGGGCGATCCTCGGTCCTTTGCATTAACTTATAAATTTTAGATTCACATTTTCAATTCCTACAGAAACACCTGCAACAATTTTCCTTGCATTTGAGTCAAATTGATGGATCAGCATGAGGAGGCTTCATTAATGATATTGTGCCTCTAACCCAAGAATATACCCCATGTTTTCATTAGTTTAGGTCTTCAAAAATTTTGTCTCACCAATGTTTTGTTGATTTTTAGAATGTGAGTCTTACATTTTTTTTGTCAAATATTTCAAAAATCTTATATCATTTTAATTAAAAAAAATAATTTCCCTAAACTTGGTTGCTGGTATCTAGAATACCATTGATTTCCGAGGCTTGATCTTGTGTCCTACAACTTTGCTGTGGCCAGTGGTTGGTTAGATGAGTTCAGACCCTCCATGGCATTTTCCCCATGGAGGGAAATGTCACCTGTGAAGGGGCAGCTCTCCATCTTCTTCCATCCTAGCTGGCTCCCATTCCTTTTGCCCTGGCTGGACCTGTCGGGTCAACTTGGTGAGAAGTGGTAAAGTGAATATTTACTATTCACTTTTTATTAACGAATGCAGAAGATTTTATTAATTTTAGCAGAAAGCATTCAGGATGTCTTGTAGACTCATGTCTTGCTGCTTCATCTAGTCTGCCTTTGAACTGGGACATTAAAAGCTTCACACTTATTTCCATGATTGCTTGTAGGGTCATGTGGAAGTCCACCCTTTGGCTCTGTTTACTAGTGCCCTCTACTCCCCTTTCCACTTTTTCTGCCTTCTTAGGGATTATTTTCTATGATTGAGGTTCATCTGCTCATGGTATTATGTACTGTATTTGCTATTTTAGAGGTTGTGTTCCTATTTTAGGATATAACTTATCCCAGTCTGGTTTCCACCAACATCCTACCCTTTAACATACAGCTGATAACATGACTGACGACGTTCTGTTCTCCCTCTCAGCACAGTTTACATTTACATATATCATAAGCCCTAAGCTCCATCCTTACCTTAAATGCTGAACTGGATTTTAAAGCTATTTCAACAATAAGCACATTCATCTCTGTTCTGACGTCTTTGCCTGTGAAGGTCCCCGGGCTCCCTGGTGCTGCGCTCAGGTTTTAGCATCATTTTTCTCCTCTGTTCTCTTTTGTGGGATTCGCGTGACGTCTCCAGGCCCACTGCTCTTTCCTTCTGTGACATCTCGTCTGCTCTTAGGTGCATCTCGGCCACGTGGGGCCTCCCATCCCCACAAGTTACCGAGTCTCTCTTCTTCCTGTGACTGGCTCCATTTGAACAGCTCTCCCTCTTCCGGTGGTTTCCCTTGGCCAGTTTTTCTCTTACCGTGTGTCCTGGCGTCTGCTCCTCTGCATTCCTGGGAATTTTTATTGGATTCTAGACAGGAAATTCTGCCTTGCAGGGTACTGAATATTTTTGTATTTCTGAAAAGAATCTTGAGTTCTTGGGGGACTGCTGCTATTTGGAAACAACGTGACACTTTCAAGACTTGAATGTAAGATTTCTTAGGTTGCAAGGCAGAGCAGGACTTCATTTAGAACTAATCATCCCTCCACAGAGGGGAGACGCGCCTGGAACACCACACAGCCCCGTGCTGTGTACAGGGAACGGGCACCAGTCTGGCCACTGTGAGCTCCAAGTGCTCTTCCTTCTCTGGTGGTCACTCCCTGACTTCAGGGAGTGAGGGAAGGTGGGTCCAGCTGCATGCTTGAGGGGCCTTTTGTCTTTGTGCAGCTCCTGACACCTGATGAGCCCACCTGGGTCCTGTGGCTCTCCCTGTGCCATGGACCTCCCTCAAGGCCATGGGCGGGAACCACAGCAGGGCTTGTCTGGTGTGCATCTGGACTTTTAGTGGTCATAGGTCTTGTCTTTCTTTTCCCTAATTGAGTCCAACAATAAGGTAATTCTGGCCTCTGTCACTTAGAAGCAGAAGTATTATCATGATTTATTAGTAATTGTACTATCAGTTTTGAAGAGGTGGATAGTTTTGCATGACAGGATTTCTGGCCAGAATATTGATTTTGGGGAGGGAGATCTGTTCTGGGACATTCAGATCCTATAAAAAGGACATGGTTTACAACCCAGAAGTTTTATTCATCTATTAATAGGTCTTTTTTAAAAATAATTTTACTAATTTGCACTTGGTATTAATACAAAATAGAAATATACACTTGAAAACATTAATAAAAGGACAGAATGATTTTTATAACTCTGTGAAAAATGAATATCTAGAAGTTTTGAAAAGTACTGAAAATTCAAGGTGGTAGCAGGAGAGCATTTATCAAAGCACAAGACCATTCAGGCACAGCTGCCAGGTCCGTGTACCCTTTCAGCCAGCGCCGACTGGGGCTTGTCACATTCATCTGGGTTTTAAAATAAGAACAAAGTAAGATCCTAGATGATTTGATTTAATAGGTTGTGAAATATCTATAAAATACCATGAAGTCATTAAAATTTATGTCCGAAGACATTCTAGTTTCACCAGTCAACTTGCCGTCTGGCCTGTTGTGATGTGCCTGTAAGTCTCCTGCAGACAGTTTCAGAATGATTAGAGATTCAAGTTCAGTAGATCTTGCAGTGTCTTTGTCTATCTCAGATGCAATAAAATGGCTAAACTTTATTCTTTTGGGCAATTAAGAATTGTTCATGCTTTGAAGTAGAAGTGTAATATGATCGAATCTGTGTTTTAGAAAAAACAATTATTGAGAATGGCGCAAGATTTTCTGATATTCCTACCCACATGGCGGGAAACCAATAGGTGAAATAACACTTTTTAGCATGAGATCTTCCCTGCCTTATCCTGTTTGTTTCCACTGTCTGTGGGCCCAGTTCCCTGTCAGTGTGACTTCTGCCCCTTCTTCGGGTTAGCGGGGGAGCGTGAGGGCTCCCCTCTTTCAAAGCTGACGGTAAAACCGTCCATCTGTGAACCTTAGCAGTAGGTCACACTGGGCTACAACTTTGTTTTCTTTTTCCCGTCTTTCAGTGTGCTCGCTATGACAATGCCTTCATCGCAGAGGTCCTGATTGACAGAGGAGTCAACGTCAACCACCAGGATGAGGACTTCTGGACGCCAATGCACATCGCTTGTGCATGTGACAACCCTGACATTGTCCTGCTGCTTGTCCTGGTAAGCCACTCAATTCTGTTTATCTGCCATCTCAAGACTTGGTGGCCCGCACTAGCCTGTGTATTTAATGACATTCACAAGGTGTGCTGTTGCATTTGAGGAAAATGTCCTCATCTGTGCACCTAGGACACGGGATCATGAGTATCTGAGGCTGGGGGTCACATAGTGCTAAGCCTGTGTAGATGCCAGGCCAAGCTTGACCCCTCTTGCCTTTCTTTGCAAATGCATGATTGATACAGGTCAGTGCTGGCTGAAATGGGGTGTTCATTGTATTTTTCAATTCACTATCATTTGTTAAATTTTTAGCTAAATGGGCATGCAATCATATGGAAATGTGGCTTTTATTGCATTTCTGGTGATTTCCCCTAGCACAGTACTGACCACAGCATTTGTACATGAAAATGGAAACTTCAGCAAGCAGTGGAGTTTGCTGTCTGTTGCTTTCTCTTACATCTTAGACCTGGCACTAATGCCCACACATATCAGTTGGGAATTAAGACTATTTTATGATTAGTTCAACTCTTAAAAGGGTTTTAAGAATCTATGCAAGATTTTTTTTTAAAGCATACTGGTGTATAAGAAGAAGAATGATTTGGGTTCTTCCCATTATTAATAAAAATCATGTAATTCCCTAATGACTTCCTCTTTTGCGCCTGGCTTTTCACACACATTATCTCACCTAAGCTCTCGTGATTTTACATGCAAGAAAATTTTGTTCAAATATTTTAAGCAGCTTCGCATATGCCAAAAACAAACCCTAGAATTGTACTTGGGTTCCCTGAGCAGAGCCCATCATTTTGGGGTCCTCCTGCACTCACTGCCTCTGCGGCCGTAGCAAATTCCCGCCTGCTTGGTGGCTGAACCCTCACAGCCAGGGAGTCAGAGGTCTGAAATGGGTGCAATGCTGCACCCCTCGTGGGCTCTACGGAGAGCCCTTGCCTGGTCCTCGAATCCCTGGGCTAGTAGATGCCCCACTCCAGTCTCCAGTCTCTGCACCCATGTCCAAGTCGCCTTCTCCTTTCCTTTCTGAAGACATCAGACACTGGATTCAGGGCCCCAGCCAATGCAGTAGGACCTCATCTTAACTGGATAACATCTGCGAAGACTTTATTTCCAAGTAAGGGAACATTCCTAGATACCAGTTGTGGAACTTCGATGTATCTTTTAATGGGACAAAATTAAATGACTACATTGTCCCCTGCCTCCATTTTTAGAATTAGAAGCAGAGGCATTTGAGCATTGAACACTATAAACTGGGACTTCTTTAATTTTTTTTAAGTTTGTTTTCATTGAAGATGGACACAATACCTTTATTTTATTTGTTTATTTTTATGTGGTGCTGGGGATTGAACCCAGTGCCTCATGCATGCTAGACAAGTATCTGTACCCCTGAGCCATAACCCTGGCCCCTAGGACTTCTTTAATCTTGTAAGAGGATTCATTTCATCTTAAGTTTTCTCATTTGTCCTGTAAGATCTTTTCTAAAGTGGGGATATATGTCACTGAAATTTTTTTTATTATTATTAAAAACTCTAAGATGGAGACTGTGTTAAATTAAAAAGGAAGGACAAAAGAAAGAAAGATCAGCTTGGAATAGAAACTTTGGGAGTGCTCATTCTCTACATGAAAGGATGTAGAAGCTACTGAACTAAGAATATAATCTTTATTTAGAATCTTTATTAGAATCTTAATTTTGACAAAATAGAGCCTAAGAGGAATGACCGGCGGGCGGCAGGAAGGCCGAGTATATGCGCGGTAGTCCAGGACAATGCAGGGCACACCAGCCAGGGCCCTGGTCTCCTCTGAGGGACACCGTGCAGGGAGAACATCCAGTCTTTAGGATGCTGGGAGCTCGTGGAGTGTGAGGCTCTGCTGGGTGAGAGGGGCTTGGCTCGCGGTCTTTGCTCAGTGCCCTTCTGGATAGTTCAGTCCCTGGACGACGGGCGTCAGGTGGCTGGTTTCGGGCTGTGAGAATGGAAGAGCACGTTGCATGGTGACTTGTGTGTTCTGCTTGTGTTCTGATTATTCCTGAATATGGGAGACGCCAAAATATTCTCAAAACCTGTTTCCATTTACTTTCGTTAATTGTTATTGATTACACTAAACCTTTTGCCAAAAGAGACTATTTTAATTTTCCCTGCATACACAATGGTCATATTTATTCTCAAAAGTCAGAGTTCATTTCCTTAGTGAAATTGATGGCCCAAGACTTCACCTTCTTGAATTCAGACAGGTTCGTCGGCTGTAGTTCATTGCCAACCCAAACTTTCTCCTTCAGTTCTCACGTGTCTCACCTCCTAATTTATGATAGCATAGGGCAGGAGGGTCTCTTCTATAGGTGATCTCCTTGAATCCATACCTGGACCCCGGCAGCCTGCCTCACCTGCAGCATGTAGTGTCATCCGATAGCAGAAGCATCAGACATCACCAGGGGACTAAAGGAAGCAAGTCATGGAGGCCACCCTGAGGGCAGAGGCACGTGTTCTGGGCCAGAGCCAGGCTTCTGCAGGCCTCCAAGACTGCGTCTGGGTGTCACCATGCCAGGTGGCTTGTGACTCGGCTCTCCCCAGGAGCTCTTTGAATGGAAGAGGAAATGTATATTAGCTTTCTTTTTACTGAATTCGCACAAGATCTTCCAAACAAATCGGCGGCAATGGCACTAATCCCAGACTCCAAAATATATTCTTAGACAAAGGGATGACTATTTTGAAGAAATGGCAGATTCTCACCCAACTTGGGATACCTTCACCTCATTGGCACACCCAGTGGGAGCTCCATTGGGTTGAGGAGCGTCTCCATGATCCTTTTCTGTGCTCTCTTCTCTCCTCCTCATCCTTGGCACGTGACCCCATTTGTCCCAAAGGTCATCAGCACATACCTGCCTGCCTTCACATCTCACCTCATTACGAACATTGCGCTTATTTAAATGACGGCTTATTTTTCTCTTGGTTCTCATGAGATACAAACTAACTCGACTGTCCAGAGGCCAGTTGCCTTCACAGTAAACACCTCCTCTGCCTGCAATACCGGGCTGGAAATTTGGTTCAAACCCTCTTACACTAGTGGTGTGTATGAGGAGCTCCGAGTCGGGCATTTACTTTAGAGTTAGCTTCCAGCAAGTCACAGAAGTAGCTAGTGGATGTGAACACAGCTGTCTGTCAGAACTGCACCCCGCACTGAGTTGGCCCTCAGTGTACACCTGCTGGGTACATGAATCGATGGGTGTGTGAGCAAAGGGTCACTTCTGGAAGTCAGCCTGAACTGGAGCCGTCCATATTAACTCATGTTTAGTAAAAGGAATTGTGTACTGTCTTCATAATTTTATGTGTCCTGGCATTCCTATCCTGTGCAGTGTTTTGTTCTTTGTTTTTGTTTTTGCCATTTACTGTTTCTTTGTTCACTAGTTATACATGATATTGAGGTTCATTTTGACATAATTTGCTCCATTTCAACCTTTAGAACTTTTCTCTCCCCTTCTGCCATCCCCTAATACCCTTCTCTTACTGTTAGTCCTCCTTCTATTTATTTATCGTTGTTTTAAGCTGTTGCATCATAGTTTTCCTGCAAACTGGAACACACTGTGCCTATTCATACAAGCACATGGAATAATTTGCTCAGTTGTATTCTGCAGTTCCTCCCCTTTCCCATTCCTCCTCCCTTCCCCTCAGTCTTCTTTCTCTTAATCACCCTTGAATTTAATTTAGAGGTACTTGCTTCAGCACACAAATTGTCTCATTGTCTGATGTTCCTTGTCTTTAAAAGGTGGAATCGAGAAGGAGAAACTGGTTTTATTTCATGTATGATTATAGAGTAAACTCTGCACTTTCCAGGTGATTGAGAGCCTTCTCGTGTCTCTGCAGGGCTGGTTCTCACACCACAGAATCACCCACCTCGTGTATAAGTGATATATCTGCTATTACTCATCCAGAAGGTGTACCTTCAGATCACCATCTTCATTCACATTCCAAGGAACGTGATTGATCACTATGGATGACACGGGGACTGTCCCAAGGGAACTAGTTGGCTCATTCCTTCACACTTTCTCCAAGAATGTATTGAGTGATGAGTTCTAGATGTTGCACAGTGAACAAGACCTCTTCCATTCTAGAGTCATGGCAAAAATGAACGGAGCAAGTCATAAAAGTGTACCACTGAGAGGTTTGATTGATGGGTGGACCAAGTCCAAGTAGCCTTTTGTACACAGTGCTAGCGTGAGCCCAGATATCCATCCGTGGAAATAGTTCACTTTTGAATAAATTTTGATGAAATATGTTGCCATAAAAATTCTAATTGCTATGAAAATATGTTCCTGCCAACAACCTCAAAAGAGAGATTTATTTTTCTTGCAGACTTTAGTGCCATTGTATGTGGTTTAGTGCCGTATGTTCAATGTTTCAGTTCCCAAAGTATTCGAGCGCCTACTGTTTCTGCTAAAGGGAGTCAGCAGTTAGCAAACGAAGCAAATTTTTGTTTTGTCAGTTTTTTAAAAATTGTTTCTTTTGTTTCAATTTCATTGATTTTTAGCTCTGATTTTAATTATTTCCTGTCTTCTACTGCTTTTGGTATTGATTTGTTCTTCTTTTTCTAGGGCTTTGAGACATAATGTTAAGTCATTTATTTGTTGACTTTTCTTCTTTTAAGGAATGAACTCTATGCAATGAACTCTCCTCTTAGAACTGCCTTCATAGAACTTCATAGAACTGTCCCAGAGATTTCAATATGTTGTATTTGTTTTCTCCTTCAACTCTAAGAATTTTTAATCTCCTCCTTGATGTCTTCTGCAACCCATTGTTCATTCAGTACCATATTATTCAGTCTCCAGGTGTTGGAGTAGCTTTTCTTATTTTATCATTGATTTCTAATTTCATTCCATTATAATAAGATAGAATGCAGGGTAGCATCTCTACTTTTTTATATTTGCTAAGATTTGCTTTGTGGCATAGCATGTGGTCTATTTTAGAGAAAGATCCTTGTGCTGCTGAGAAGAAAGTGTAATCTCT